TGCTTGAAAGCAAGTCCGTGTTTGGTCCACGTGGTGAGATTGTTGGAAGATGCAACCGACAAGCGCGCGACATGCCCATCGTACGACTGAAGGAGGGTGAGGAGACTAGAGGAGGAGGAGCAAGAGGAGACTGGGGGAGGAGGAGGAGGAGACTAGATGATGATGATGATGATGATGAGGAGGAGGAGACCAGGGAGGAGGAGGAGGAGACCAGGGAGGAGGAGGAGGAAGAGGAGGAGGAGGAGGAGGAGGAGGAGGAGGAGGAGGAGCAGGAGGTGCAGGAGGAGGATCACCGTGTACAGCATGAAGTAAGTTCCCTCCTCATCTTGAACGACTCGCGGGTCCTCGCATCCTCCCTCAGCATCGTAGAGCGACATGCTGTACTTGCCCTCCCCCACCTTCACCATCCCAGCCGCCGTGTCCCTTTGGCACTTGTCCTTGCACGTGTCCTCGAGGTAGTCGACCCTGAAGCAGCAGTCTCCCTCCTCCGGCGCAGGGAAGAGGACGGGCGAGGGATGCGTGTCCTCTGCGGGGAAGTGCAGCCCGTCCTCGCTCCTGGCCAGCCCGATCCTCGAAGTCCCCGCATGCATCCCATCGAAATCTTCGGCGCGGAACAGGAGGTGAACCTTGTGGTCTGCTGGAGGGTCAGCGGGGAGGACAAGGACGGGAGGGTCGGGCTGCTGACCGCGGACGAGGGCGGCAGGGTTGAAGACATCCTTGGCCTGCCATTTGAGATGCTTGTGATGCCACGGGCAGAAGAAAGAGAAGCTTGCGTTGGGAGAGAAGATCGGGTTCCTGCTAGCCTAGTGCTCCGACATAAGCAGGCGTGCGAAGATGGCGGAGGGATGGAGGAGGGAAGGAGGAGGACAACAGGGGACGAGAACGAGAGAGGATCAAGAACGGAGCAGAGGCAGAAGGAGAGCGGCAGGGGAAACGCGCGAAGACGATGGGAAATTGGAGAGGAGAGGGTGCCAGGGAAGGGGGGGATTCCGGAGGGATGGGAGGGGATCGGAATAGAGGAGGGGAGAGGACAGGAGGAGGGAAATGCCTTGTGAAAGGGGCCGAGCAGCATGCTGTCAAGATCTTCTGAGGGCACAGCGCTGTTGACATCGACCTGTCGTCTGGTCAATCTGCCGGCAACGAAGGAAACACAACGCCTACTTCATGCTCATCCTTCGCTGTGAGGACTTCACCTGAGCCACTGGCTTCGTCACTGGCATGACAACATCGCACTCATTTAGCGGAGGACCTCCTCCACCACGATCGCATACTTTCATCATCATGATAATCTCCATCATCGTCATCGTCAACATCAAAATAGTCTTTTCCAACTCGCTCCGACGACTATGACGATGACGATGATGACGACAACGACAACTACAGCAGCAGCAGCAGCAGCAGCAGCAGCAGCAGCAGCAGCTCACCACGTTCGCATCTCCCTTCTCCACCAGCTCTTACCGTAACAAAACTGTATCATCGCAATCCCAACGATGATGAGACGCATCCTTGAAACAAGTGGAGAGACAGATGATGGTAGGATTGGAAGTTCAACGATATGAAGGTAGAAATCTGTCCTTTACGAACTGAGATGTAATTTAGGAAATGATCTGAACAACCTTGGAGATTATGATGGGTTGAGATGTCAGTCGAGTATGATTGTCAGCAAAGATGTTATACAAGCTATGCAAAATTCTCTATCCTTGCCTCGCCATTGCCTGCTTCCCCGCCCCAGCTGCACAATCCTAACTTTTACTCAAGTGGAAGAGACTAGTCCTCGCTATAGCCGGGCGAACAGAGATAATCTTCTTTACTCAAAGTTAAGTTAAAAAGGTACGAGGAAGAAAAGACAATGATCGGATAGGGCCATACCGTACGGTCACCGAGTACCGGGCCGCAGAGGAGAAAAGACTGTCACTGAGCCTGTCGGGTCAGCCAGACTCGAACCAACGGCCCGTCCTCATCCTGCCGATTGCCAGGCTGTCCCCCAAACTTCACTCAGTAACTGCGGCGGCGGCTGTGAACCTGAGACTCCAGTGCCTCAGTCACCGGCCCGGGCCGGGTGCCCCCGGCCCGGCCCGGGCCCCGGAGGCGCCGGCCCGCCCGGCGGGGCTGCCCAGGGGCCCAGCGTCCGATCACTGGCCGCAGGGCCGGGCCGGGCGAGACGCCGGACTCCGGGCCGTCACGGGCACTGCACTTGTACCGGGTCCTCGTACTGATTTTTAAGTAAACTTTGAGTACTAGGACAAAAGCGGAGAAAGGCTCCGGGCCCGTGACTCATTAAAAGGAGTTGTTGCATGCGGCCTCTTGACAGTCGGGTCACTGAGATACTGCACTGGCAGTCGTTGAGAGATGATAGACTACCTTGTGACTGTTCGGCGCAGTCCCCGAACTAGCTTCAAGTAGCGTGACTTCCATTGTACATACACAAATATATCCGGCTGAGGAGAAGGAGGAGGTTAGGTGGGGAGCCTGTGAGTCTGAGATTAGTAGCATAATTAGAGAATGATCTGGGTGTGCAAGGGTCGCAAATGGTGGCTGTAAGGTGAGGGGGAAAGTTTCGATTCTATTTCAGCAAATTTGAACATTTCTGGAATTATCTTCAAAGTTTACTTCAACATTTCCTCGGATTTACAAGTTGTTTTAAACCACTCGAAGGGTTGGGGTTTCTTTGCTCCTGGGAAAGGGACCCCTGCTTCGTGTAAATCATCTCCAAGTAGGGGTTAATTTCAACATTTTTTCAGTGAAATAGGGGGTAGGGTGGTGATGTTGCCATTCCGACTCAAAACATTTTAAAAAAGGGTCGGTCAGCATGGTATCCGTGAAGAAAAGCTTCTTGCCCCACCCCACCCATCTTGAATCCAAAGACCCACCCCTATTTTTCCAATCATATCAAGGTAGACAACACCCGTACTACTTGTGTTTGACCACCCCACGTGGTCCATAAAAGGCCCCTCGCCAGTCCTCGTCAACCCTGGCTCCTCTTCCTTGGTCTTTGCCCAGACTCCCCCCCTCCTCCCCTCCTCCCTCTTACCTGCTCCTTCACCCTGTTGCCTCGTTCACTCGCTCCTTCTTCGTCGCTACCTGCCATAGCCCGCGCTCTGGAAGATGATGACACTGAATGTGTCTGCGCACGATCCATGGCTCCATCACAGCCCAGGTTGCGGGCTCACGGGCTCGCAGTCTCAATCGACAAGTCCGAGCGGAGCCCAGCATTGCAGCCTGGAAGGAGAAGCTGTCGCCTCCTCTGCGGAATCTGCCGAACCCATGGACGTCCATGGAAGGAGGAAATCTTTCCTGCAAGACGCTGAGAACTTCAACTCAAGCTTCAGGATGAATCGAGCCGCCAGCTGCGATGTGCGAGTCGGTCTTCCCGAGAGCAAAGCGAACCCCCCTCCTCGACTCTTCCAAGCTAGCTGGAGGCAGTTCGAAATGTTCTCGAACATGTCGACGTATAGCGTGTGCGCATGTCTTGAAGCGATGAAGGTAACATAGGGAGGTTGACCGCTCTCCTGCTGACTGCTTCCCTCCCAGCTGCGCATGTTTGAGCCGGGTGAATGCATCATTGCTAAGGGCACCATCGGCACGTCCATGTTCTTCATTGACATGGGACGTGCTCAAGCTGTTCACGACAAGAAGGTGGTGGAAGAGCTCAGCAGCGGGGACTTCTTCGGAGAAATGACCTTCATCGCCACCTGCAAGCGTATCGTCAAAGATCCCTCGGCCAAGTTCCACAACATCGAGGAGCTGCAGCGAACGTGCGACATCCGAGCCATCGAGCAGTGCCGGTGCTTCGAGCTCAGCGTTAGCGACCTCATGGCGGTGGGAGGGGAGGAGGTAATGCGGCTCATCGACTCTCTCCAGCCTGTGGCGGAGTTCCGCAAGGCGAAGCTCTTCTCCAAGCCTCCGAAGAAGGTGGAGGGAGAGGAGAACCGGGGGTTCTCTCAGGGCAAGCTGCCGAACCTCCATCGCTCCTCCAGCATCCGGGAAGTCAACTCCTACTTGTCGCAGCCTCGCGGCAGACCCTCCCCGCAAGCCTTCAACTCCTGGCACGGGAACAAGAACCGAGACAGCAACATGAACGCGAGCTTTTTGAGCTCGTCTCGAGAAGACCCTCACATGAGCTTCGTGAGAAAGCTCGAGAGCGGGATTGATGGAGGAGTGCGGGAGGCGCAGGACTGCAGTCAGCATCAGATTTCTCGCTGCCCCAGCCGGTCGTCTCGTGGGTCCAGCAGGCACTTTCCTCCCAAGGCTCCGAGCAAGCACGAACAGAACAACGCCCGGTCACCCGGGAACAGCATGACGTTCGGAGACTACATGGACAAGCGGGGATCCAAGTCTGTGGGGGGACACCAGGGGCAGCTGCTGCTGGAGGTCGAGGGGATGGAGGAGCCGGTCTCAGTGCTGTGCGTGGTCGACAAGAAGCTGATGCGGATCTTCACGGACCCTCCCGCCTTCTCCAACCAGCTCAGCACCCTCAACCTCCAAGGCATGTCGGTCTGTGTGGCCGGGAACAACCCTCTTGCTATCCAGCTCAACGGGGACGCGGCGGGAGAGGAGCAGTCAGAGGCCGTGAGGCTGCTGATGCCAAGCATCAGTCAAAGGGACGTGTGGCTGAAAATTCTCTTGGAGAACGGCGCTCGGCACTGCCGCCCCAACAAGAGCGTCGGCGTCCGCAAGGAGTTTTACTTCATTGGGATTATCTTCATTATCGCTTCCATGATCTTAATTGATCTTGTCATGTAACCTTCTGTATGTACAATACATAGATTTAGAACTACTTTCATACTTGCTTTCTCCTCCTCCTCCTCCTCCTCCTCCTCCTCCTCCTCCTCCTCCTCCTCCTCCTCCTGATGCTACTAACGTGCTGCCCTCCTCCTACCTTTCCTTCGCCTTCACTGTCAGGTAATCGTTTATACAGCAAACTTGTCACGTTGTCGGTCGAGGCTATTGCCAGCGCGTCTGTTGTACCTGACTGTTTCCTCCTGCACTTTTGCGAGGACCCCGCCAACGTGCGAGGCGAGGAGCTCGATTTTCTGAGCGTAGACCATGTCTTCACCGCGAGGGAGGTCAGCAGGGAAGCCTCCTACGCACTGGTGCGCCTCCTTCCTAACTACCAGGTTCGTCGGTGCTCCGCGCTCTATCGCCTCCTTCCATCGCCAGCTCACCTCCTCCATCAAGCTCCTCCCGGCCTCCGCATCCCAAAGCTGGATCCTGCTGCGGACAGCAAGGAAGGATGAGTTGGACGCGATCGCCGCCGCGAGAAGTAGGAGGTGCCCCTGCAAGACGATGTCGTCCGCGTCCAAGAACAAGATGAAGTTGCCGGTACTCTCCTCCACTCCGATGTTCCTCGACCTCGCAGCTCCCAGCCGCCGCTTGTTCCTCACGCTCCTCACCCTCATCCACCTTCCAGAGGCAACATGTCAGCCAGTCATCAGCATGAGGCCGACAGCTTTACCTGCTCGAGGTCAGCTGGCATCGCTGCTGGAACTCAGCCACCCTCCTGCTCGTCTCGTCCGTGGATGCGTCATCCACCACCAGCACCTCCACCGGGAGACAGCGTCCTCCGTCCTTGCAGCGTCTCTCCCACATGTAGCGAGCTGACTCGTTGAGGCTGAGCAGAGCAGTGACGACGAAGGGAGCATGGTTGTGCGACGGGACTACTACAGAAATCTGCTGCTCCTCCACTCCCTCACCTCTCTCCTCCCAGAAAGATTTGGGGCACTCAGGGAAGAGAAACTTTGCCAAGTTCAGCTGCTCCCTCCCTCCCGACCCCCTGCGCTGTCCACCTGCCAGCCCAGCTGTGCGGCAGGTGAGAAGCGTCAGGTCAAGGTCGCAACCTGGAGGTGTTGAACTCACTCTGCACCTCCTCCAGCTGCTCTGCAAGGGATCGCAGAGCTGACGGGGAGCAGGACCAGCGGGAGCAGAAAATATTCGCGTTCTCCACTGCAGTAGGTCGAGGGTTTCAGATCCTCGTTACGGAGCCTCCGGCTCACCAGCATCTGCCCACGAGGTCGAGAGGACGTGCAGCTCAGTGAGACCTAGTCGCGGGTCAGAGGAAGAGTGGGAGCGAGAGGGGGAGAAAGAGGGAGAGGGGGAGAAAGAGGGAGAGGAGGAGGAGGAATCACAGGGGGGGCAGAAGAGGAAGGGTCAGACGGAGAGCACAGAGTAAGAGCAAGGGTCAGCCTGGGAGCACAGAGAGAAGAAGGGTGGGAGGGGGAGGAAGGAAGCTCTTTTGCCTGATGAGTAATGGAGGAAGACAGGAATGCGCGGGGGAAGTCGATGAGGTGATGAAACTACCGTCACGTTCCAACGAGAGTCGCCGCCCCTGACCAGCTCAAGAAGGGTTTCAACCTGCCGGGCTGTCAGCAGGAGGCAGGAAGCGTCTATGTGTTCCTGCTGTTGGTGTTGCGCTGAGCAAGAGGTCCTGAAGCAGAAGGAGGCGACGATGCCTTCCTGTCGCTGCATCGCCGTGAACGCCATGGAGTGAAGCTCGTTCTTGACCCAGACACCTCGAGCATCATCACAGGAGGCAGCAGCATCGCGACTTGCTCTACCTGTGCTATCACGAACCACTCTCTGCAAGACGATCGGCACTTCGTGAACTTGTAGGGTGTCTACCATGAATGCGCCTTTGCCGGCCAGCATTGGAGGCATCCACATCAAGGAGAGCAAGAGCAAGGCTCCGGGCCAGGCAGGAGGCACGCAGGTCCTCATGCCTCTTCCTTGTTCTCGTATCTGACGCTCTCAGCGTTCCTGTGCTGCCTCAGTCTCTTCCTCTCCTCTCCTTCGCTCCCCTCTCCATGCATAAAAAAGCCTAGTCAAACCTGCGTGATCTTGATACTACTACGACACTTTTTACTCAACTAACTCACTACCTCCCGGTCCCCCATGCCCGGAGCCGCCGGGCGGTGGATCCGGGTGGGACTCGTACTGATTTTGAATTATTAACCAAAGAAGTCAAACGTAGTTTGCAAGGCCGGCCGCGCCGCGCAGCCGATTCATAAGATTACTGTTAATATCAATTCATTCAATTTAGTTCAGAAATGCTGCGAAGTTAGCATGAGTGAGCTTTGCACTGCAAGTTAGTCGACTCTACCACTCAGAGAAAATCTTATTCGTCATCTGGAACAAACTCGTCATCGTCATCGTCATCGTCGTCTAGCGCCTTCTTCTTCTTAGATTTCTGTAAGAGGCGGAGGGAGAGAGGGAAGTAAAGAGAAAAGTGAGTTATGCAACAAAAACAGGCAGAGGTTCGGTCACCTTGCTTCGACTCCGCTTCCCTCCGTCATCAGAGTCGTCGTCATCGAGTGTCGATCTGAGAGGAGAGTGAGACGAGGCAAGTGGAAGGGAAGGAGCTGTCACTTCTTTGCGGCCCTCCGTCTCTTGCTGGGCAGGACTTCGTCCTCCTCATTCTCAGCTGTCATAGTCAGCCTGAGCTGGGGCTCGTCTCGGAACCTCTCCTTCTCGATGGCGCGGATGATGTCAGCCTTGCTGGTTCCCTTCACTTCGATCCCATGGGACGCGGCGACTGATCGGAGCTGCGAGACAGAGAGAGACTCGAGGTTACTCGGCAGCGTCTGGTGGGTAGGGATGCGACTCTTCTGCTTCTTCGCATCCCCCTCCCCTCCCGCGTCTGTGAGCAGCCGGGACGCGTCCAAGGAGTTGCGGTGGCGGACTAGCCTTGCAATGAGTTGGTCTTTCTCGCCCTCGTCGTCGATCTTGTAGCTCTTACACTGCTTGCGGAGCTGTTCCAACGAAAGCATCCACAGGTTCTCGTTCTCTGCCCCCAGGAACTCCCAAGTCCGCAGGTTTACAACCTCTTCCTGCTGCCCCCTGTGCCCGAGCACTCAGCCAACTGCAAGGCAGGGGCAGCACCTCAGACCTCCTGCTCGCCTTGGCAAGCTCTGTCTCCTTCTGGACTCGCTTCCGCCTCTGCGCTGGGTGAGAGGAGAAAGCGCTGCGCCTTGCGCTGACCTGGTACGCCATGATCTTCTTGTCGTCGTTGCATTCCTTGAGATGCTCCTTCGCTTCCTCCTCCCCATCTCGTTTCTTCAGCTGCCCATCGAGATCAGCCCTTCCTCCTACATCAGCAGCCCCCCCCGCCCTTTACCTTCCAGCCGCACTTGGGGCATTCATTCAGGAGGCCATGCTCGAAGCTTTTGATCTGCTCTTTCAGCTCCTCGTCTTCTCCTACCGAGACAGAAATTCCTGTTTCCAAGGGACTCAGCAAGACTTGTGGGCTGACATGTCAACACGAACCCTTCTCCTTGGCTCTTGCGTGCCGACGGTCTAGAGTTTCTTGTTTCTTGAGCCTCTTCTCTTGAGCCGCTTTCAGCTCCTGCCCACAACCGCCGTCATCACCCAAGTCGTGCAGAGCATCCGGACGGCACCTCCCTCAGCTGCTTCATCCGAGTCTCAGACACGTTGTACAACATGAATCCGAATTTCTTGGAGCACCCTTTGTTCCCGCAGACTATCTTGTCATGGTAGAGGTCCGGGTTGTATTCGAACTGCTTGCTGCAAGTACAATCCCCATCAGATGCAGTGACAGGCTGAGGTTTGTGTGAGATGACCGGCAGAACGGGCACTTGTGAATGGCCGTCATACAACCAAAGTCGAGAAGGCAGGTGCTACAGCAGTACCTTGAGAGATGTCAGGGAGAACAGAGATGTCAGGGAGAACAGAGATGTCAGGGAGAACGAGGAAATGGAGGAAGAAGGGAGTGTGGAAGGGCGACGGAGGAGGAGGAGCAGGAGGAGCAGGAGGAGCAGGAGGAGCAGGAGCAGGAGGAGGAGGAGGAGGAGGATGGTTACGTCTTGATTCCGGTCATCATGTGGCTGTATGCTGCAGGTTCCAACCCATCGATTGCCTCACCCCAAGGTGCCGAGCACCTGGAGGAAGTTAGGAGAGTTGGAGCAGGACGGCACGTTGACACCGAGGACAGTGGACGTCGGTGCGGTAGCAGCCATCGTTCGACCGGTTGATCGTCTTCGCCTTTGACTTGGAGGTGTCGGCCTGAGCTCACGTCAGATCTAACACGCCTCCTCCTCCTCCTCCTCCTCCTCCTCCTCCTCTGCCTTGGTCATGTCGGGTTGGGTCAGGGCATCGTAGGCGCAGACAAGCAGCTGGAAAGCCTTGGTAGCCTGAGCGAACGCTGCGGGAGGCGTCAGAGCCGATGCCGGGGCTGCAGGAGCATCACATGGCAGCTTGTCGGGGTGGATCTTCTGGGAGATGAGCAGGTATTGCTTCCTCATCGCCGCTGGGCTTGACTGAGAGGTTATGTCTTCTCCGAGAAGCGAGCTAGGCGAGGGTCAGCGCAGCTACAGCGAGAGCACGTCTCCCCACAGGATGCCGCAATGATCTTCTCCTAGCTCCAGCACTCGCTTCGCAAGCGATACGCCCTCGCTGTCTACAGCAGTCTCGATCACACAGTCGTCAACCCTCCTGCCTTCTCACCTTGCTCCTCTCCTGCCCCCCCCGACGAGCCTCCTTCGTTCTCGACGAGGAGCTTGAGGAGCTCGTCTCGCTCTCCCATGGGATTGAGACCGCGCTGAGCACACGCCTTGCGCAGCTCTGCTGGCTTCATCTCGAAGGGATCCTTCCCGTCCACCTTCATCTCCCTCGACCTGTCGGAAGCAGATCACCCTCCTCGAGCATGCAGCAGGCGCCGGAACTCACGCGAGGTGGAGCTTGACTCTGATCACAAGGTCCTCCTTCTCCCCGTTCTGACATCGCATGTCACTCCCTGCATTACGAGCCCCATCGCCTTTGACATCGTCCCGGCGCCCACCCTACTCCTCTCCCTCCCTTCCTCTCGCATGCTCGTCTGTGGCTAGAGCCCATGGTGTCAGACCTGAGGGATCTTGAAGGACTTGAGGTAGTCCTTGAGCTCGGATATCTTCATCTTCTCCACGTTCTGCCCTCTTCCTCCTCCAGCCTTCCCTCCCGCCGCCTTTCCCGCCATGAGTTCGGAAGGGACTTGGACAAGACACAGAGGCGGGCCCGGAAAATGTCGGGGATCATGGAGGATGCGGGTTACGTTCTGCGACACAATGTGAGGAGGAGGAGGAGGAGAAGGAGCAGAAGCAGGAGCAGGAGCAGGAGCAGGAGCAGGAGCAGGAGCAGCAGGAGCAGGAGCAAGAGCAGGAGCAGGAGCAGCAGGAGCAGGAGCAGGAGCAAGAGCAAGGAGAAGGAGGAGAAGGAGAAGGAAGAAGAAGAAAAAGGAGGAGCAGGAGGGGGGGGGAGGAGCAGGAGCAGGAGCAGGAGCAGGGAGCAGGGAGCAGGGAGCAGGGAGCAGGGAGCAGGGGGAGGGGGAGGAGGGAGGGAGGAGGAGTTACAGCTGAGAGGCACATGTCAGGCTCGATGCGTCACCTCCATCAGAGCGGAGACTAACGCTGATCTCTTCCTCGTGGCAACGGTGGGGGTGAAAGGAGTACGAGACTTGCCGGGGAAGTCGCAGACAGGAGCTCCTTCCCATGACGTCCAGCTGCTGGAGTACAACGATGACACAGCAGAGGTGATCTTACGCTCCTTCTCCTCATCAAACCTCTCTGTCAGAACAGTTACTTCTCTTTCCCCTCTCATTTTCCTTCCTCCCAACTCATGCTAGCCTACCACCAGCACTGTTTCCCTCCTCCTCCATCATCATCATCACCACCACCACCACCACCACCATTTCCTCCTCCTCCTCCTCCTCCTCCTCCTCCTCCTCCTCCTCCTCCTCCTCCTCCTCCTCCTCCTCATCATCATCATCATCATCATCATCATCATCATCATTCGCCCTACTTTAC